GCCTTAGGAGATAAGTAGTCTGGTTTATTAGATTTTCTTAGAGCTAGCATATAGGCCTCTTAAAAAGCATAAGGGTAATATCCTAGTAATGTGTAAGCAGAAAATAAGTGGGTAAGCATAAGTATAAGCTAGTTAACACAGGCCTAAAGGATCCTGTTAGAGATCTTATTAAGGCCCGGGGCTTTATCTGCTCTTATATACTAAATAGCGTTCTGTACCTCCTCTTTAGTAATGGCTATAGGGCAATAATATATCTATAGATATACCGCGTCTTTAATATTATTAAGTAGTGCCTCTGATAAAGGCGGGAAGAAGGCGGCTTTAAGCACCTTAATCTAGTTGTTAAAGATGTATACTATAACGCCCTAGGTTGCTAGTAATATAAACTTAGGGGAATCACGTAGACAATAGCTATTAGCTCATACCTATTTAGCGAGTTTTTATAGATCTTTAAGGTTATTATAAGTATGTTTAATTTCTGTTCTAAAGTTAATCTACTTAGCTTTATTTCTACTGCCTCAATTGCTTCACACTCATATTAAGCAAGTACTTGCTTTCGACCTCAATTGTGGACTTTCTGACTGCGGCGCGCAGTTCCTTCTTTGATGATTCGATAGCCAGTTGTTTCAGATATATTATGTATCTTAAATAGCTCTGTGCGAGGTAGTTTGCCAGCTGTATGGCGTGCATCGGCGAGGAGGCGCGCGCGGCGCGGCGTATCAAGCATCGTTTTTAGCGTTCGTGGGGCCGCAGGAGAAGGAGGATCTATCGAATAAGACTTTCGGCAGACGCGCCGTCTATTTCCCTGTTCAGAACTCATTATTCCCTAAATTTGAGTGAGTATTGGTAGAGAAATAGGGGAATGAAGTAGGGGGGGGGGAGAGGAAGGGGATCTGAGAACTCCCGTAAATTTTGGCGCCAAGCTTCGGGCCCTGTTAGGGCTCCACCCATTGGGCCACGGCTAGAGATAACGGCGTAACCTGTATTGTCATGCGCCTGCATTGCAGGGCGTATGAGCTGCCAAGAGATAGCTAGAGTAATGCCCATAGGGCACCCCTTGGGCATCATAATTCCAACACACTCCACTCACACCGTTTTTACGTCTTTTGTTCGCTTTTCTTTTGTTCATGCCAGTATTGCATGTTATGTATTGTATTACTGTGACTTGTAAGAAGGTTATGTGCCAACCCTGTCGAAGCCTAAATTCTGTAGGATACGAAGAACGCTAGTCATTGAGGCATTAAGCGCGGAAGGACCCGTATCGATACGGAATACACGCCATCATCCTAATTACTCTAAGTTGTTTCAACAGTACGTAATTTACTGTTAGATAAAAAGGACCACCGTTTTTGAAGGATCGTAGACTAGCTTATGTCTGACATATTCTCTCACGAACGTTTGATCTTGGAAGCTACTGTAAATTGTACGCTGTCTGCTCGTATATCTGTATGTCAGATGGTACTTATCCACCTCTTTGGTGCAAAATGATCTGTCAAGAAGTATGAGTGTTAATTGCCAGATTTTCTACATTTAATTCCTCCGTTTCGTCTACGTTTGATTGATTAATTTCTACTACAATTCGCAGCTAATTTCGCTGTGCCGTACGTACATATATGCGCGTAGCTCCTTATTAGATAGAACAACTTCTTTCTACGCACTCTATCAAGCAGTTCGTCATGACCTAATTGTAACTGGCTGACCTGCTGCTGCTAATGTGGCCCTTAAACGTTTGAAGCTCGGATGCTGGACTTGTTGATGGAGAGCGATAAGCTTTGCCGCGCAACTGCCAGCCAATGATGAAATCGAGTTATTTTAGGCCAAAGGTGGGTCGTGGAATGAATGTTTCATTTACTACCACACGACCAACGCCCACTTCGTGTCTTTGGTGCACTTCCCGGCCCATCCTGGCTCATTCATCCAAGTCTTTCCAGGGATCAGTGTTGCATGCGGCGTTAGTCAATCTCCCGGTCTAACGCCGATGCTTCGCCCTGTCGAGAAGAAAACCCGAAAATCGGACCCCGTAATAGCCGGTTTCTACAAGTGCGTCGAAGCAGGGCAGCTCTCAGTAGCCAGACAGCCTCAGCAACATTAGAAACCGGGTCTAACAATAGTATCCTTCCACTCTGCGAGCCGAAATGTGCCGCATACCAACATAAACCAGAATAAGATCTATTGGCGTCAATCATTTCCAGAGATTGTTGGGGTCGACAGCAGTACTAAAGACATTAGCATTTTACCTTTCATAATTGGCTTAGATTGATCCGCTCAGGTTGACCAGAAGGTCCGTGGCTCTTCTGCAACGTCAGTGTCTCTAAGCTTCAGCTTAAAGACTTCTCTTCTACCTTTGTCTCCCTCAAGCTGATGAGGATTGTTCTCAAGCTGTGGAGGACACATCTTGTGCCAGTACAAGCACAGCTAGTCATTCTTATTTGCATGGTACGGCTTCCGCAATGTCTTTGACTATCCCACCAGGCGTAAGCCTGTCCGAAATCCCCGCTTTGCAACCACCGCCAGGCGTCACGCCAAATTTCACCAATCCCGAGTCCCAAGCGCATGGTGTGATGATTGCAAACGGCATCATCACCGCTGTGATGCTTGTATTTGTGCTTTTGAGAGTATACACAAAGGCGTTTTTGACAAAGACGCTTTTCTGGGAAGATGGTGAGCATGACGAAAACCACATACAGTTGCAAGGGCTGACGTTGTCTCATAGCTGCTTGCATTGCTGGGACAGTACGTGGCCTGGAGAACTTCCGCCGTTCAACTGCTAACTCTATGAAGGTAATGTCTGTGGGCTATCTTGGGCTGCTTGCTCATGGTATGTTGAAGACTGTACTGGTCTCTACCGGGCTCTTAATAATTGAGCCTAGTTTTTCAACCCGGCCGCTTGGGCCCGCATCAATGGAACGTACGATTGACGGTACTTCTCAATGATTCATATATCAAGGTAAAGCTGGTCCCAAGGATGCCATTTAGGTTGGCTCACCTCCTCCAAGGAACTCAAAGCCGTCAACTTCCTCTACGGGCCAATGATGACTTTCACCAAACTCAGCATTTTGCTACTCTACTTCCGCCTTTTCTCTCCTACTAAGACTATAAGGATCTGGATATATGTTGGAATTGTCACGACCCTTCTAAACCATGTTGTTGGCACTATCATTGCCATCACGATATGCCTTCCGTCCGACGCCGTGGGGTATTCCAGATGCTCTGGCCGCCTCCATCCGTTAGATGTCGTAATTAATGCCATCAACATACTCAGCGACTTTTACATCTTGGTCCTCCCACTGTTCGTCATCTCAAAATTACACATGCAAAGAGCTAAGAAATTCGGAGTCAGCGCGGTGTTCCTCACCGGGTTCCTGTACTGTACCATTTACCAACGAAGGGGAAAATAAAGCTGACCCATATATAGCGCCTGTGTTTCAAGCATCGCTGGGCTCGCATATCGCATCAAGACATGGAAATCCGAAGACATCAGCTGGTGGATTGGTCCAATGCTGCTCTGCTCGTAAGTCCAGAGCACCTACTGACCCACAGTTCTGCCACTAACGTATTCTATTTCAATTCACAAGTCTGACCGAGATTAATATTGGGCTCATTGTCGGCTGCATGCCGGTCCTGCCCGTCCTCTTCCAACACGAGAAAGGACTCAAGTTTGTGGGCAAGTACTTCAGCTCGCTGCGCTCCGACATCCACAGTCTTCGTAACATCCTGCGCACTAAGCGAAGCAGCGACGATGAGAAGGAGAGTCATTTGAGGGCGCCACCGCCGGAGCTAGGGCTTCACCATCCATTGAAGGACTCTGGGTCTTCATTTGCTAGTACACCGAAAGAAGACGGGAAGCTTGCACATGATGAAACATCATGTTATGAGCCTGTTACAATGGTTTGATTACATAACTCGGATATTGCCCGTTGCGGAAGTTCTGCAATTCCTTGGCATTGATGTGGAAGATGCAGTGTCCTGAAAGGACGTCTGGCTTATGTTTTAGGTAGTTATCCCCTCCGTACCCGAACAGGGGTGTAGAATGCCTCAATTAGCGCTGTCGATCACTGCAGAGGGGGTCCAAATTGTCAACAAACACCCTATTTGAGCGAATTGAGGCCGTATTAATCTAGCAATTGACTCCAATTGAGTGGTGATACTGTACCCAGCAGTCTCCTTCGATACATATCCAAACTTGGCATTTTGAGCACTCATAATGGGTCTTTGAGCCTCCTAAAATAGCGCTAGAAATGCCATTATTGACTGACTTCGTGAGATCCGTTCCAAATGCGCGTTTGGGTGCCCTTTTACGTGTACAACCTGGCGGATGAAGCTTTCCCTATTGGCACCGTCCGTAGGACTTCTTTTGTATGTGTTTATAGTGTCTTTGAAGTATCATAGTTGGTAATGAGTGTGAATCCTCCTCC